TGCTCGTCAAGGCGCAACGGTTCAAAGGACACGAACTACCCCCACAGTAGGGAACCCTTTTGAGGGTGCTGTTCGTCCACAACGCTCTCTGGTTTTTGGCGGTATGTTCGTCCGTCGTCCGCTATGTGCATCAGCATCCTGTGCTATGCTCTCCTCAGTACTTCTTGTGCGACGCTAGGAAGTCTCAGGCCACGAGAAGTCGCTGTTTTGATGCTCGCAAGCATCATCGTTATCATTATCAGATTCGTCAACAATGAATCGTCCTTCGTTTGCTGCCAGCGAAGCCTGACCCTTTCATGCCTGTTGGAAGACGACTCGCCGGTGCAGATCAAGCCTCGAGATTGATTCCCCTTCCAAATCGAGCGTACAAATGCGCTTTGAGCCCATCGATCTCTTCCTTGATCGTGCTCAATTCCTCCTCTAGCGTCGAAACTTCGGTCTCGAGGTCCGTCGTCGCTGATGCTAATAGTTCTTGAGCCTCGCTGAGTGGGACATGCATGAACGAGTCGCCGATTTTGTATCTGTAAACACATCAGACCTGATCATGGCAGGAGAGGGGGGACACCGACGGAACTAGTTCATCTTCATCTGCCAATTCGAGTTCGGTCGATAGCTCTTCGAGATCTTCTCTGTCTTTCTATGTCGCAATCAGCATGGCCCGCAGAACCGACGGCATCGTCCACGGCCGCCTGGATACACATGGCATCTCGGACATTGACCATGTATCAACGCTGGATGGCTTCGACTTACCTGCTTCGTACTTAATTCCTCCCCGAGCAGTTTGCTACGATTGTGCAATCTCGAGAAGGTGTTGATTTTGTCTTGGTCTTCTTTTGTGACTTCCGCGTCTGTGGACTGGGATTCTTCCTCCTTCGATAGCTGAATATTCTAATTAGTGCCGTATATGGGGTTTTCGGGAGTATTTCGTCTTGTCTTCCCGGTGCTGGACGAAAGGAATCATAAGGCGTTTGAACTCACCACTCTTCTGGAAAGCATTCTGTGACTTGAGCGCTGTGATTGTCTTCAGTAGTATTGTTAGGCCTCCGGGAAAGGATGATAGTTGGTCTGTCAATGATCCAACTAGCGTCTCATAAACAAAAGATAGTCGGCCATTCGGTCGAAAAGTGAACAGCCTGGTCGTCGTCGGCCATACGCAAGGCTCCGACCCTGATATCTTGGCAGCGTACTACTATGATGCACTTCGCAGTACCTAGGTAGATGCTACGGAAGATCAAAATTACATTCTTAGATGGCCTTTGAGCAGTCTTGTCCACCTCATCCGTGCTCACTCTCAACATTGTCACCACTTCATAATACTTTCTCATCTGAGATACCTGCATCACATTGAAGTTGTGCACGCACTCGCCTAGAGGACGATGCTTGGCACACTAGGAATATGTTAGGTACGATGTCGCCCAAAGGTCACAGTCTCCTATACGGCCATTACCATGTAGGTTTCCTGGTTACTCAGCATGCCTTTCTTACTTATGCAGACTACAATAGAGCTCACGGTGCGTCCAAAGTAAGTGGCGAAATTGTGCCAGGTGAACAGCAGCTTCTCGGACGAATCTGATATCGTTGCACTCTCGGCTTGACAGCAAATTGTACGAAGAGAATGTTGCGGTGATGGTAGCGAGGCACGATCTGGTAGGCAGGCAGACATGTCGGTAATGGAGCGAAATCTCGTTTGATATGCGACGATCATGCATATTCGGGGCTTCGTTCCTTTGCAGATATTGTTGAATTTTTACTGAAAGATTCAGACAGCCATCGTGTTGTTCCTATTCACCCGCTTTTGCAGACAAGTTGGATCATTCTGATCGCCCGCATCTCTTCTCCACTCATCTCAACAGTAAAACATCGAGATGTTGGCTCCATGGGATCAGGTGGGAGCAATAACGGACCGATCTGCGATCCAAAGAGTCTTTCAGCGAGTCTTGCTGAACTTGGCAGAGCAAAGCTGCACCTAGGTGAAGGTAAGCAATCCTATTACCTCGTCAACTGTCACCACATATACAGATGGCGGTCAACGCACTTTCTCTTCGACTCTCAACGCTCCGCACGTCATGCCCAAAGTCGGTGTTTCATTTCCCAAAAAGATTTATAGGAGTTTGTCGTTCACAGCTTACCCCTCGCTTTCGCTTTCGCTTTCATCCCGCTCACTTGCGCCATTCTTTTTCTGATCTTGGCCGTCTTGATCTTTGGCCTCCTTCTGTGCTTTGGTTCCAGCAGGCTCGGCCTCGGCCTTAGCCTCAGCCTCTGTTTCTGTTCTTGTTTCCACCGTTGCTTCGGACTCGTGTCCAGTTTCAGCTTCAGCCTTAGCCTCAGTCTCTGTTTCTGTTTTTGTTTCCACCGTTGCTTCGGACTCGTGTCCAGTTCCAGCTTCAGATTCTTCCTCGCTTTTGCGTTCTTCTGCCTCCTCCACGCTCTCTTCTTCTTCTTCTGACCCCATCTCGAAGCTCTCGAAGCTCTCGAAACTAGACACTTCGTTGATCACCTCTGTGTGTGACGCCTCTCGCCGACGATGAGCTGGCCTGCGACGTCTGAAAACATCAGCATCTCATACCACTAACGATGGCGGTATCCTACGGTGGCTGTAAATGCAATGCATCTGGCAAAGATGCTCTCGGTCCGGGTAGCAAAGCCCTTGTGGGTACCGCTATCACCGCCAGATTCACTGGCCTGACACCACGCCCACGAAGAGTTTGGGCTGCACTGGCGGATGCACGCCGCATGTTTGCCACTGGCCGCATCCCCAGGCCACATAGAGAGCAGCACATAGCGTTGAGAAGAAGGCGAGGGACATTCCGAGGAGGGAAAGTGAGGAACAAGCGCCAGGGCCAGCCACGTTCATGATCCGTTTATCATCCTCCATGAATTACGTGCAAAACAATGATCCAGGACAATTAGTTAAGGACTATTCCGTCAGTCTGACTGTCCGCTAAAATCCTGCTGACAGGCCACCTAGGCACCGCGAAGGACTGCCTAGGCTGGGAAACTGTAAGGCCTGAAATGGGTATTACTTTCGAAACAGAACCGTCAACATCCTGGCGATAGAAGGTAAGCGGCGTTGTTACACATGTGGTAGTAATCAAACATGGAGCAGAACATGTGGCAATGAAGTGGTGGCGGGTACAGGAAGGATGATTCCGTTGTATGAGGATGAGAAAGAGATCGGAAAGTGTCCAAAGAGGTCATGGCCATTCCTGGTACCCGGATAGAGAATGTCCACAGGCGACACTCACGCCCTGAGTTAGTCATCAACAATCCGAGTAATATATGAATAGCATCACCTGCTCTCCTGGGGGCAAGATGAAGTCCTAGCAAGGTTTGTGGACAAACTCGGAGCCTGTACCATGCTTTCAGCTGAAAATGACAGGACCACGGGTGTTATCAGACCATGTAATTACATGAGGTATCCAGCTACTTTACACCTATGCTATAAGTTCCCAGACGCTGAACCAGACCCAGACTCTTTTTCATTATGTATTCTACAATAGTCATCCAACGCCCATATTACACAGCCTCGAGAAGATTATACAGCACTGTATCCCCCTCGGGATCCACCACCAGAAACCGTATCGACGACTTTCTTTGAAAAGTCCTTGACAAGATACGGCAGATCCCGAATGGTGTCTCCATGGGGCAGCAGGTCCCAACCTCGGGCACCGTAGCGGTTGTAATTGAGCCAGGACCCGAATATCAGGTATGCGGCGATGCCGAGGAAGGCACTATTTCGCAATGTCAGTTTGGATGTCCTCGCGTGAAGTCAGGGTAGAAACTTACAGCAAGATAAACCAAGTAAAGAGACCCCAACCAGTTTTCCGCGCTTCGTCACTGTCGGCATAATCTTCACAGGCGTATTTCGTGCGCCAGTTGAAGCGGACTACTTCAATCGCCTCTTTCCCTTCGACGGGACCGTAGCTGACGAAGGTGAGACTCGAGTTTGACGGTGTTTGCTCCTTGTCGTCCTCTGTGTCGTCCCTCTTTCTCCTGCGCTCTTCGTCATCATTACCCGTCCTCTCTTTGTCGCATTGTAATTGGATGATAGCACGCTGCTTCTTCTTATTGTAGTATCCGCCATTTAACTCGATCTGGAGACCGTCCGCCTTCGAGTCCTGCGCCTTCAGTCTTGATACTTGTGGATCGAGGCTGGAGCCCGTCGATGCGTCAAAGTTGCCGGCAACGGGTATCACGTTCTCGACTTCGACGTGCTTCTGCTCCGGGTCATCCGCTGGGTTCCACGATCGAACTACGCCGCAGACTGCGAACCGTTAGACTTTCATTCTTTTTGCCTAGTGTATGCTGCTGCTGCTCACCTCTCGTCCCGGAGGGACACTGGTCCGCATCAGGAACACCTTCAGTCTTCTTTAGTGGTGCACAGATGTTGAGGGACCACGTTGTATTGTATTCCGCGGGCGGCCTTGACGTATCGTGAAGTATTACTGAGTGTGGGCCTGCGAGCTTGGAAATGTCGAATTTCTTGTTGTCTACTCGGATGTGTTCGCAGTCTATCGATACCGCGGCCACGAGTTGTATCACTACGAAAGGCAGTGAGAACAGGGTTGTGATAACTGTTTTCATGGTTGCGATGGTTGTAGAATCGTGGAGGATGTCTAGGGACTTAAGGGTTCGGATCGCGTAGACAATGGGCAATGGTGTCTATGTCGAATGTCGTATTGGAGGGTGTTTAGAGAGTGACGAGAATGGGAGTCTAAGAGCTAGTCCCAAGATACGATCAAGGGACTTGTTTGGGGAAAATGAGACCTCTTCGTTGAATGCCAGTACAACTATCTCCATCTACCTGCTTCGACATTGACATGATCGTCATTGAATGCCAAGAAAGAGACTAGCGCAAAAGGAACGCATTATAAGACCTTGTCGTGGAAAAACTGTCAAGATTTGACTCAAGATTGCTGTCAATATCCATCGTTCTTCTTAAGAACATATCCCCGATGGTAAGCAGCTCTCATCAAACAGCTCATGTAGCTTTCTAACAATTTTAAAAGGTGTAACGGTAACATACCTGGTTTTCATTAGAAGATCTTGAGATTCGCATCTCACCCAGGCGCCCCGGGTTCAACTCCCGGTCGAGGAAACTTTCTTTTTGCTTTTTTGGTAGATTCTGTGTTGGTTCATGTGTTGTTGGGGCTCAAAGGGCATTGTTGAATGTTTCAAATCCATTCGAGGCGTTTTTGTACTTGGCATCGGTGTAGTTTTCTAACAGAATCTGACAACGAGCAGGAAGCGCTGAGTCGAGAATACGAATATCATATGACTTCACAACGCCTCACTTGAGCCTCGCGACTGTCAAATGGCTTTGAAGTGACTTTTTGCAATGCGTATGATGACGGCGTCTTGATTGAGTCGTTCCCACCTAAAACAGCTGCGTCAGACGTATGTATGCCCGGAGATGATAGAGCCATGTGCAAAACTAAGGATGCGAACATTTATCAGAATATGAGAGATTCTTGTAAGCGCCATAAATACCTAGCAAGACTATCGTAGCACCTGACGGGATTCCTGTCTACCTAGATATGTAAGGGCGGGCTAGTCTAATCAATTAAGCCTCGTGTACGGAAGTATTGTGGTGTACGGAGTACTTTCCACCCCTCTATATTCCCATTGGCGGGCACGGAAAGTTGCGACCCTGAAGCCGACGTAAGCGCAGATACAGACAGACGCAGACGCCTCTTGGTCCTGCATTGCACAAGCGCACCCAGTCACATCAACGACGAATATACATGTTATAATTCCGGACTACCCTTGTCTGCTCGCCCATACCGTCTGTCGCTCACTACACATTGTCTCGCTCTTCGTGTTATCCTTGATATCATCACGGTGTATACTATCGTTGAGCCTGTCTCCCAGGTGGCCGCCATCTCCTTGGGCAGTCTCACGTCAAATGCAGTCCAAAGCACCATTCTTGGACTGATGCGGCTTGCGTGCGCTTCACCTTCATTCCTCTCATAACGTCAACATGTTCCGCGTACGCCGCTATCGCATTTTCCTCGTGGTAGCCCTTGTCCTTGTTGGCACACTCTATCATCTCACACGAGTCAACAAGTGGGATGCTACGGCCTTGGAAGGTCTGATTCGTTTCAGACCTGATGCAGGAAAAACTCCCATCTCGGACGCTCCTGCACCTCCAGTACCTATAAGTCCCTCTTCTGCCGACGGCAATGCTCTCTCCTCCGCGGGTGAGACGGCCCCTGCTGTTGCTACACCTATCGAATCTCAGTCTGCCGCAGTCTCACGTGCTCCTGTTACGAGCGCATCGCTTTCCTCTTCCGCACTCGAATCCAAGACCACTCTGACAGGAGATGAGCTCTTAGTGAAGCAAACGAACCTCGAGGAGGACTTTGGTGAGCGTGGTCAAGGCCGATATGAAGTGAAACCACGGCCGGATACCCAGTCCAAAGCATATTGGAGCCAGCAAAGGGAACACTTCCCAGTGCCGACACAAAGCCTGATAGCTCTACCGAGTGGTCGGCTCAAGACCTTGCCTAAGATTCAACATGATTTCGAGCGGGAGTCATCAGCAGCGAAGACTGATCGCCAACGAAAGCAGTCGGCGATTCGGTTGGCTTTCAAACATGCCTGGAACGGATACAGAAATCATTCGATGCCTCATGATGAATTGAAACCTATATCAAAAGGCTCTGCTGACCCTTTCAACGGCTGGGGTGCAACGTTGGTAGACTCGTTGGATACGCTTTGGATCATGGGTCTACGTGACGAATTCGAGGAAGCTATTGACGCCGTGGCTGAGATCGACTTCAAGACATCTGCAAGAAAGGACATTCCGCTCTTCGAGACAACCATACGCTACCTTGGCGGTCTAATCGCAGCATACGATGTCAGCTCTGGAAAGTATCGCATATTGCTTGACAAGGCTGTTGAGCTTGCTGAAGTCCTCATGGGTGCGTTTGACACGCCGAACAGAATGCCTATCGGTTACTATAATTGGGCGCCATCATATGCTTCACAACCACATAGAGCTGGCACTCATACTGTCATGTCTGAGCTGGGATCGCTTGCTATGGAGTTCACAAGGCTGGCTCAGATCACCAAGGAGCAGAAATACTACGATGCTATCGCACGCATCACTAACGCTCTCGAAAAGTGGCAAATGCAGACGGAAATCCCTGGGCTCTGGCCACTGAGGTTGGATGCCTCGGGATGTAAGAAACCAGAGGTCGTCCGCACCGTTGGCACCAAGTCTCTTTCTATTTCCGTACTTACCGATGAGCTCGAAGCAGACGCCCTTGTCAAGTCCCCAGCTGGTAGCGGAGAGATGGAAGACAATTCTGCGACCAACTCAAAAGGGTCCGGCACATTGCGTAGACGGCAAGTACACGCTGAACCAGCTCGAAAGGAGGCGCCTAGCGCAGACGACGCGCAGCCAATTGAGGAAGGGGACGAGCCAGTACTCGTGACAAACACAGAATGGGCAGAGGACTATGACAGTGTCGACTGTGCTCCTCAAGCTCTCAACTATGAGCCGCATTCACTCGTCCACACATATGGGATTGGAGCAATGGCCGACTCCACTTATGAGTACTTTCCCAAGATGCATGCGCTGCTAGGAGGTCTCAGTCCGCAATACGAGTCCATGTATGTGGACACGATGGATGCCGTCCGGCGGGAATTGCTCTTCCGACCCATGACTAAGGAGAACAACGACATTCTTTTCGCCGCCAAGCAGGACATAGCACCAATGGCGACTGAGTCATGGGAGAAGAAAACGACGATCTATGAAGGAACGCATCTGGGTTGTTTTGCCGGTGGCATGTTTGCCTTGGGTGCCAAGCTGTTTGATATCTCTGGCGATATGAGTATCGCTGAAAAGCTCACGGACGGCTGTGTGTGGGCTTATTCGTCGACAACTATAGGTGTGATGCCGGAGGCTTTCCAGCTAGTGCCTTGTGACAGTCTCACTTCTTGCACCTGGAACGAGACCAAATGGCACGAAGCTCTCGACCCTAACCGTGAGCAACGGATTGCCGCGGTCAAAACGTACAATCTCAATCAGCAGAAATTGCATGAGGAGGCCCTGGATGATGTGGAAAGCTCGACAGATAATGATTCTCCTACACGTGGAAATTCAGATCCTAGCATGAGGAAAAGAGACGGTGTTTCGTTCAGTCACGAAGATGGACAACTTTCCAAGACTTCTCCGTCGAATACCGACGATAAACTCGAGGCTGCGCAAATGGATCGGCCAGGGTACGTGCCACGAGTACCACTATCGCACGAGAAATATGTTGCTGCCAGGATCATGGAGGAAAGACTGCCGCCAGGATACACAAGAATCAGCGGACGCTACTATACACTTAGACCTGAAGCTATCGAATCGGTATGGTATATGTATCGCATCACTGGTGACGAGTCATGGAGAGAAAAAGGATGGAACATGTTTGACGCTGTGGACAGGGCCACCAAGACCGAGGTTGGCAATGCCGCCATCAAGGACGTGACGAGCCAACTGAATGAGCATGAAGATTCGATGGAGTCTTTCTGGTTGGCCGAGACTTTGAAGTATTTTTATTTGCTGTTCAGCGAGCCCGACTTGATCAGTTTGGATGACTATGTTTTGTAAGTGACGACCAAGCATGATCTTGCGAATGACTGCTGACAGCTTGACAGGAATACCGAGGCGCATCCATTCAAACGACCGACATGATGTAACCAGTCGACCGTCATAAGGACTTGGTAGACCTTGATCAGGGAAAGGTCCTTATTGGAAGCGTCGGTATCACAAGGGATGACTACCTGGTATAATGGTACCTCCATCGTCAAGGACGGACGACGTACTGTATTATAAGTGAATTTCGAGCAGAGCTTTCACGGCCGGTAATGCCTCGATATGTACTCTGTTCACCTTGATGAGGACGAGCAGACCTTCTGATCCGCATTGGGACACTTGTATCACACAGTTTTCCATGGCATTCACGATGGAGTGGCTGCTCAAGAACCTTTCGTATAGATAGGAAAGGAGGTGGTTCACTGTTTGGAAGATGCTAATTGTTGGTCGCTGTGAGGACTTCCACTCCACTGCACGTGCCTTTAATAATAAAGAGGAATTGATCCGCGGATGCGGCAAGTCCAACTTAACGGGCACCATCAGCGTCATTCTGTTTGCGAACTGTGAAGTGACATTCACTCCACCTTCCACAATCATCACACCTACGAGTTGCGCTACGTCTGAACTGTAGACATCTTGTCGCTCTCTGCTATTATTCCTGTTATCCTTTTTCCTATGATACACCCACCACTGTTCGAGCTGCGACGCCTCTTGCATTCATGTCAACCCATGCCCGCGATTCTTTTCTCATGAAGAGCGACCGTTCGCAGCATTGTCCTCCCGGCCCAATACCAACCTTCCGTAAGACGATATGAAGCTGCTCATAGTATGGAACACGAAGATGCTTATGGCTTCGAGGACGAAGACCAGTTCTGGATCGGTGAGGGCATCTGCAGCCAAGGAAACGAGTCCGCGTTCTGACTGTCCCATTTCCAGTTCTCGACGAGACAATCTCCAAAGAATGCGATAATCATGGCAGCATCGACGATACCTTGCGATCCTACCTAGACCTAATCGGAGCCGCCCGAGGTATGTGGGAACATCAGAACACAGCGGACGCAAGTGCTTACACAGAGGGGCCTCAGAACGTTTTCTACAATCCGACTACGACCTGAGTGTATGCGCCTACAAGCTACAACAGTCAGATCTCTTTGCTACGCACACCGACTATATACGGAGGCAATTCGTCCAATGCTTGATTGAGGTGCGTGCAAGTCTGGACAGCCTGGTACGCAGGCGAGCTGACGGATCGGAAAAAAGGACGATGAGCCCCATGTCGTGTTAATCGCTACACTGTTCCTCATAGCCGACGCGCAGTTACATGATGGCACGTACGAATTGTTAAATGATGAAGGCGCATTTCCGAGATTGGTGGACTTGATCTCAAGTCCAAAGAGACATGGCCATGAAGAAATACACAGATCCCTCATGGAGTTGCTCTACGAAATGTCCCGCATCCAAAAGATCAAGACCAATGATCTGGGTACGTCCACCACTTCTTGAGCAGAGCG